ACAGAAAGTAAGAAAGGTTTTTACTAATCCGCTGTTGTTCTTTAGTGAAAAGATTCAAACAGAAAGTAAGAAAGTTTTTACTAATCCACTGTTGTTCTTTAGTGAAAAGATTTAAACAGAAAGTAAGAAAGGTTTTTACTAATCCACTGTTGATTTTTGGTGAAAAGATTTAAACAGAAAGTAAGAAAGGTTTTTACTAATCCACTGTTGATTTTTGGTGAATTTCACGAAAAACTGGTCAAGAGCTATATTCACTGCCTTCCCTAATTTTCAAATGATAAACTAAAGGGAAGACAGTTAGTCAAATCACCCAGCTACCCTAACCAAATAGTGCCGGTAAGAGGGTGAAAAACCGTAGACCTTACGGCCACAATCGGTCATGATAACCATTGGGCCGTACTCTTCCCACAGTTCTTTGTAAATATTCATAAACTTAATTGATTTGTTGCCAGTGATATATCTTATTCTAACTTCTAATGTGTTATCAATGTGTTTGTTGTATAGCAGATCTCACTGTCCGCTCTGTATTTACAGATTAATTCTAAACATATCATATCATTCAAAAAATTATCTGAACAAATTATAGAAATATGTTTTTTTTTTTTGTTCGTTGGTAAGCACAAAGCTATACAATTGGCTGTCTGTCGTGACCGCCACAAGTATCGAAAACCGAAACCGTTTTGTTTAGCAGTGTGAGCCCTCAGACTTACTGTTAAGCCACTGGGGCCAAAGTTAAATCCTTGCCGTGCCTTTACAAGGCACATAGGGCTACAAATATGAAAGAAGCAACTAATTAGGAAAGTATGCAGTGCAATAAGAGGTAATATCTAGCGATAAGTAAATTAGTTTACTATATGAGCTAGGAGTGGCCGTTTTGGTTAGCAGGCAGGATATGCACTTTCAGCTGTGGAGAGGCATATCTGTGACAGTCAGTCCTATTGTTTGGTAAGAATAGCTGCATAGCTATTGTTAAGGGTCTCATTTAGCCTACGTGCCATAGCAACTAACACTTTTGAAAATATTTGTTCATCACCTAGTGGAGCCTCAGTACTAGGCTCAGGTTTTGGGGTGAAGAAACTTTCACCAATGTATTAAAAAATATAAAAATATTTTCATATTTAGTAATATTCCATTAATAAATCTATTGAAAAAAAGCAAACAACCAAACATTTTTCTCATCTATGTTGGATTAAACTAAGTTTAAGCATGAATAAACTAGAAATTGGTTGTATTCACTATATTTATTATTAGTCTCTGTGACTCGTATTTTGTGACACATCCACTCCACACAGTTAAGATTTAGATATATGCTGTCTGACAACCTGCAGGTTCAGACATCTTTAGTCAAATATCCATCACTTTTTAGAAAGGATCAAATTGACAAGCAGTTTTGTAAATATGTATACATTTTCTCAGCATCATAGCTTCGGTAGAGATGTATGAACCCGAACTCGATCAGTGGACCAGTCTTGCTTCCATACCAGAACCCTTGATGGGAAGCGCTGTTACAAACAATGAGGGACTCATCTATGTTGTTGGAGGCCTAACAACTAAGAAAGAAAAGAACCAAGAGGGAGTCCTATCTAATAAAATATACTGTTTCGACCCACTGAATAATAAGTGAGTATGAAATTATGGATTATACACGAAATAAATAAACGGTGCTGATTGGTTGTTTTTAATGTAGCAGTGGTGGCGAAGTATAGGCTTTAACTCATTATCATTAATAGCTACAGGTAAAAACTAACTTAAAAATAAACACAGTTACTTCCACTAGAATGGCTTACACTGTTTCAGCACGAACAGGATGACTTCCATTAGGATGGCTCACGTTCAAAATTCGTATTTGTAATTTTAGGTGGTATCGGAAGCCTCCATTACCTTGCCCTCGTGCTTTTGCATCTGCTACCACACAAAACAAGAAAATCTGGATTTGGGGTGGTGCTAGTTTGTCAGAAGGAGGGACTCTTGCCAGCACTACTTCTGTTGATATCTGGGATCCAAAGAAAGGACGTTTTGAGCAACACCTCATATTTGATTCGCCAAAACATTGTCTTGCTGTTACCAAAGCTGGTAAGTAACGGAATTCAATTAAATGGAATATCAAATGATCACCTAAATTAAATACATTAAAAGGTGTGTGCCTAACATTTAAGACATCATTAAAATGTATTAAATTATCGGAAATATTACCCAAGAAAAACTGATTCGTCCTTCCTATGGAAACGTCTTCAAATGTAATAAGCCAGTAAAGCTGACTTTCAAATGGAACATTATATTTAGAGTCTACACAATCTACTTCAAACTCCGGCTGAAAAATGCTGATATTATGTAAGTAAGCTAGATCAGTTCAGGTGCAAAAGATTAGTTTGAAAAGTCACAAAATTAGCGTAATGGTCACTGTCTGTGTGTAATCAAAGTGGTTTAACTTGACTTCAGAGTAAGTACATCTGTTCAGGTCACAACTCACATAGTGATACGACAAACCAACTATGAAGACCAAGGAGCTTTCCAAACAAGTGAGGGATAAAGTGGTAGAGAAGCACAGACCAGGAAAAGGTTACAATAAAATTTCAAAGTCGCTGATTATCCCTTTGAGTATGGTGAAGTCCATCATCGAGAAGTGGAATGTTTTCATACCACCCTGTTATTACCAAGGTCAGACCACCCTTCCAAACTACAGGAAACTGATTAGGGATGCTACTGTGAAGTCAACAGTGACTTTGAAAGGTTTGCACAGTTCCTTGTCTGGGATGGGGGTCAATGTTCATACATCGACAATATCCCAGTCCTTACACAAAGATGGCCTCTATGGGCGAGTGGGAAGAAATAATAATATTAAATCTCGTGTGGAGTTTTCGACAAAACATGTAAATGATCCTGTAAATATGTGGCAGAAGATTTTGTGATCAGACGAGACAAAAATTGATCATTTTGGTCTAAATTCAAAGCATTCTGTCTGCCACAAGCCCAACACAGCACATCAACCAGTCAACACCATCCCAACTGTCAAGCATGGTGGTGACAACCTCATGTTATGGGGTTGCTTCTCATCAACAGGGGCTGGGAAGATTCTCAGGATTGAGGGGAAGATGGATGATACAAAATACGGGTGAATCCTAGAAGAAAATCTGCTTGAGTCAGCCAAGAATCTAAAACTGGGTCGAAAATTCACATTTCAGCAAGACAATGACCCGTAGCACAAGGTCAAAGCCACACTAGAGTGGTTTCAAAGGAAGAAAGTGAATGTTCTGGAGTGACTCAGTCAAAATCCTGACTTGAATCCAATAGAAAATATATGGTGAGACTTGAAAATTGTAGCCCATCAACGATCCCCAATGTACTTGTCAGAATTGGAGCAATTTTGCCAGAAAGAATGGCAAATATTACACCATCCCATTTTAAAAAGCTGGTAGAGATCTATCTAAAAAGACTCAAAGCAGTAATCGCTACCAAAGGTGCTTCCAAAAAGTACTGACTTAGAAGGCTGAATACTTATACAATCAGCTGATTTCAATTTATATATTTTCTTTACAGGTTTTACTGACATGCAACCTCCTTCACACATAACAGTGTTAAGTTTGATCATTAGAGTTTTGAATAAAAATAAATTCCAGAGAAAGGATTTAAATATTTTGTATTTCATCAGAATGTTACATTATTGGTAGGGGTGAATAAATACTTTAGCAAGGCACAGTATAATATTCAAATGTGAGTAGAAATGCAGTTCTTTCAAAGAACCTTTCAGCTTCCATAACCATGCAGTGTTTTTACATTACTTCACGAGTATAGAATACCAAGTTACAGTATTGCAATACCTTATTTTAAATATCTAACTTTGCAATCATAGACTAAAGGGAAGGCAGCTTGTCAACACCACCAACTCTTAGACTACTCTTTCACCAACGAGTAGTGGGAATGACCATCACAGCATAATGTGAAAGGGCGAACATGTTTGGTTAAGGGGGTTTGAACCTGTGACCCGCAGATCGCAAATCAAGCACCCTAACCATCAGGCCATGCGAAGCTTGCCATATTTTAAATTAGAATTAATGCTATAGAAGTTAATAAAACAGAACTGCACAAATATAATTACCAACAAGCCAAAGTGTTAAATACTAATAAAATAATTCCCTGGCTGTGTGTTTTCTGCGGTTTAGTAGTTCTGTATTTATATAAATTATGTTTCATTCGATTGGTTCCATAGTGATTTACAGCCTTTAGTGGTACAATTTCTTCTTTAAAATCTGTTCAATGTGGACAAAGATTAGAATGATCCCACACCTGTATACTAGACCACCCAAACTGTAAGAAAAATTTCTTTAAAGAAGACAAAACCTGTGCAGCAAGAAATTTAATTCTGTTTTAATTTCATTTGCAGTACTTAGTGTAGTGGTTGGTTGTATCCATTTTATATTGGTTTGGCCATGGGTGCAACCAGAGCTTCACTGTGGCAAGAGGTATCTTTCTACACACAGCACTCGACTCAGTCGTCAAAAGTCCTTATAGAACCATCTATTTTCTACAGTTATTGTTGTGCTTACAGAATCAACTGTGACAGAAACTTCCGTTTCCACTAAACAACTCAATTGTGACTCAACCTTTGGCCTGGTTGCGTGTGACACAGTAAGTGTTTGACACAACCTGAGCTAGCAGTCTGAGTTTATAAATACTTTCATTTCACTACCTTTCGTGGTTCTCGTCTCTGTCTTAATTACAGTAGTATGTCTTCTTACCACTACTTTCACAAGGCTGCATCCTAGATAGCTTTTACTACAAATACATTTTTAGATACCACTGTAAAATATATATAAGAAATAACGATGCTACTAGCAGGTTATGAAACTTAAGGCGATGTAAGTTTACAAAATATTTAAAACTAATAAAAGAAAGCTTGACTAAGATTACTGTAAATAAACAACTCAATCTCCAAATACAAACACCAATATACAAAATAAAATACTTAAAAAATCAACAATGTAATGCCAAAAATCACAAAATAATAATGGTGAAAACTTCTCAAACAATATCATCAAACCACAAATAAGGATCAAATAAGAACTAACAATGGTGAAAACTTCTCAAATAATATCATCAAACCACAAATAAGGATCAAATAAGAACTAACAATGGTGAAAACTTCTCAAATAATATCATCAAACCACAAATAAGGATCAAATAAGAACTAACAATGGTGAAAACTTCTCAAATAATGTCATTAAACCACAAATAAGGATCACATGAGAACTAATAATGGTGAAAACTTCTCAAACAATATCGTTAAACCACAAATAAGGATCAAATGAGAACTAACAATGGTGAAAACTTCTCAAACAATATCGTTAAACCACAAATAAGGATCAAATGAAAACTTCTCAAACAATGTTGTTAAACCACAAATAAGGATCAAATGAAAACTTCTCAAACAATGTTATTAAACCACAAATAAGGATCAAATAAGAACTAATAATGGTGAAAACTTCTCAAACAATATCGTTAAACCACAAATAAGGATCAAATGAGAACTAACAAAGGTGAAAACTTCTCAAACAATATCGTTAAACCACAAATAAGGATCAAATGAGAACTAATAATAGTGAAAACTTCTCAAACAATATCATTAAACCACAAATAAGGATCAAATGAGAATTAACAATGGTGAAAACTTCTCAAACAATATCGTTAAACCACAAATAAGGATGAATGAGAACTTGCAATAATTGATTTTAACAATTCAAATATCGTACATATCACAATTTCAAAAATCTCTAACCTAACCTCTTTCTCTCTCTCCTTTTTATTGACGTACAACACCACAAAGTGACATATTACATGACTAACTACTTAACATTTGTTTTATATAATTGATAATGGACTTAGTATCTGTACGTCACCGCTAGGGGAACCTCATATGATGTTTTAACATAAAAATAACGAGTTAATGTTTAATTTACACTAGGAGGCAGGTGAGCTAGCATTTAAGGGAAAATACATAAAGGATAAACAAAGCTATAACTAAAATAGAACCTGCTACTTTACGCCAAGTGAAAAAAAAACACGTTTAACTTCCGGAGTTTTCAAAATAAGAAAGGAGGAAGTCAACTTTTTTTTTAACGACCTCTTTTATAGAAAGTTTGTTTGTTTTACACGAGGGCTATCTGTTCTAGCCATCTCTAATTTAGCAGTGTAAGACTAGAGGGAAGGCGGCTAGTCATCACCACCCATCACCAACTCTTGGGCTACTCTTTTACCAACGAATTGTTTTGGGTTTGTTGTGTCGAGCATTGCTTTTGTAGTCAAAATGTTATCTATGCCACTGCATTTGAAAACCCTCTCCAACCTGCTCTTCGTGTCACACCTCTGCTGGAACATCTCCTTCCTCCTGCTGATCCCGAACATATTGACATTCTGCCATCCGACCTACCACATTATATCTATTCTCCTGATTCACCGACTCCAGATCAGCATTATTAATGGGAACCTGACTCAATGTTCTATCATCTCAGCTGCATTAATAGACTTCTATATAAACTTTTGGTGATATTTTCATTCACATGTTTCTGACCCTCGTTTTTCTCTTGTTTCACTTCGACATTCCTCCATACACTTTCTCGCCTCTTTGCCCCACATTCGCCAATTTTAGCTTCTCTCTTACTCACCTATCTTCTTCTCCTATTTATCTAACACATCCTCTGGCTGAAGAGAGGGTGTACCCCTCTACTAGCCCGCCAGTCTTGGACTGGAATGAAATGCATCTCTCTCTTTCTGAAGTTTCATTCGGTGGTTGTGTCCAGCGTCACCGATGAGGAGTGGAATTCTCTGAAACTAGTTTGGCCCACAAACACCCCTAATGAAAGAATAGAACACTCCAAGCTTTTACTTGTTGTTAAACATATGTTTAAACAATTCTTTTCAAAGAAGACTTTTGTTTGACATGAACTCTTTGAAAACAAGCAACAATCATGAAAAAAAAGAGTGCAATCTTTCTGTAAAAGATGGCTAGGTAGACAGGGCGTTCGACTCGTAATCTGAAGGTCGCGGGTTCGAACCTCCGTCTCAAAAAAACATGCTTT